TAAATGTTAGTAAATCTAAATACAAAATTTAACACTCCCACTTATTTAAATTCATATACTAATCTGATACATTCATCATACTCCAAAGATAACAGAATTGTTCTTTCGGTAAAGGTTTTGTTAATATATCGTCAAGTTGTTTATTTGATTGAACATGTTGAATTAAAATTTCCCGTTTTTCGATAATTTCGCGTACAAAATTCATTCATTCTCCGTAACCATATAGCATCTTTTACACCTTGGGCAAGGGCAATATACTCAGCTTCAGTTGTCGAAAGTGATACAATACTTTCCCGTTGATTTGACCAACTAACAGGTGCATTATTTAGAAGAAATACAAATCCACTTCTTGATCGACGTGTGGTAGGGCAACCTGCGTAGTCTGCGTCAGTGAAACCTATCAATATATTGTTACTCCCACTTGCTCCGTAAGTTATACCAAACTTTAAAGTTCCACGCAAATATCTAAAAATCTTTTTAACTGCATTCCAATGTACAGATGAAAAATTAGTCAAAAATTGACTTAAGAAATTTACTGCATACTCTATATCAGGACGAGAAACTCTTAATTTTAAATTCTTTTTGCAAATGATCTACAATTTCATTTATTTCTTTTATCGATTTTGACATAATTAACCCGTCGTCGACATACAAAACAAGATAAATTATTTCTCCACTCACTTTTGCTACAAACACGCACTTGTCACTCTCAATGCTTTGAAATTTGAATTTATTTAAAAATTTCACAAACTTTTCATTGCAACATCTCGGTGATTGTTTAAGTCCATAAAGACTTCGATTTAATTTACACACAAGGTCAGGACTTTCTTCTTTCTTGAATCCGTTTGGTTGATTCATGTAGATTTCTTCTTTCAGCTCTCCATTTAAAAATGCAGTTTTTACGTCAAATCTTGTAATCTCAAGATTTTCCGCCGCACAGATAGATAATAATACTCGAATTGATTCATAGCGCACAAGGGGTGCAAAAGTCTCGAAATAATCTACACCTTCGCGTTGACTAAAACCCTTGGCCACCAGTCGTGCTTTATATCGAGTAAGATATCCATCAACATCAGTTTTATGAGTGAAAATCTATTTACAGCCAATTGCGTGATGTCCCGCTATCAATTCTTGAAGGTCCCAGGTATTATTCTCTTTAAGTGCTAACATTTCCTCATTCATTGCTTGTTTCCATAGTTTTGAATTTTCAGACGAGATAGCTCCTTCATAACATTCTGGTATGTTATCAACATTGTAGATTACTGGAGCTCCGTAACGATCAGGGGGATTAATTAAATTCCTATTTCTTAAGCGGTGTCCAATGTTATCAAAATTGGCATTTTGTTCGCCTCCATCTTCATTTCTTAATTCATCTGGATTTTCATCTCTTTCAGCTTCATTTTGTAACTCATCTTGATCTTCATCTTGTCCAAAGTCTAAATCATGTGTGAATGTGCTCTTCGGAATCAAATTGTCAGAATCAAAACTTGCGTTGTTATTTTCCTTGAACTCAACATCGTTACTTATGTAAATCTTCGGAGTTTCTTTATCCCATAAGCGATAATTTATAGAGTCTCCTGCATAACCAACTTAAAGCAGCTTCTTACTTTTTGGAAAGAACTTAGTTTCTCTCTTTTCTTTTGGTATATTCATGTAGGCATCACTTCCAAAAATTTTTAAATGTATCACTTCTGACTTTTGATTATACCATTTTTCATACGGAGTCATACTTTCTTTTTTATCCAATATAACTCGATTCAGGATATTAGCTGCAGTATTAATTGCTTCAGGCCAGAGACTTTTTGTCACATTTTTTGCGATGATCATTGTCCTAGCAATGTTTACAAGTGTGCGAATTTCTCGTTCTGCATGTCCATTCTGCTCGTGAATATAGGGGGCGGATAAGTCGTGTTTCTTTTCTAAGTAGGCAATGAATTGATTGGACAAGTATTCTCGGCCGTTATCAGATCTCAAAATTTTCATCTTGTTTCCCGTTTGTCTAGAAATTGTGGCTTCAAACTTCTTAAATTCTTCAAATGCTTCAGATTTTTCTCGAAGGAAACCTACATGTCGAAATCCAGTGCAATCATCCTTGAAAAGGATAATATATTTTGTGCCTGTAGGTGAAGGGATATTTACAGGACCGCAAACATCCGTGTGAATCACTTTGCCCGATTTATAATGTTTTTCTCTCAAAATTGTTTTATGGGGTTTCCGATTTTGCTTCCCAAAAACGCACGGTTCACAAAAAAAGGTTCACTTTCACTTATCTTCAGACCAAAAACTGCAGATGTTGCTTGTACACTTTTTATGTTTATATGTCCCATCCTTTCATGCCACCCCGCGTAGAAATGGTCAACCCTGGGAAAAGGCTAAAAAAAGGCATCAGAGAGGCATTATAAACCTTGGCAAAGCCCTGGCACAAGGAATATGCGAACCCTGGTATCACTTTGGCTTATGAACGATTCCCAGGGACTGGGAATACCCTGGCATTCCTTTTTGCGGACCTTTTCACGGTCAAAAGCGAATTGAGGTCTTTGCAATTTTATAGAAAAATTAGACTATTTCAACTCCGAGACAACCCTGGCATAACTTTTTCCCGGTCAAAACCGCGAATTCCGATCTTTTGCAATTTTTATGGAAAAATTAAGACTATTTCAACCTCGGGACAATCCTGGCATAACTTTTTTACGACCTTTTTGTCCACCTTTTCACGGTCAAGAGCAATTTGTGATCTTTCCAGTTTTTATGTAAATATTATGAATATTTCAACTTCGGGACAACCCTGGCATCACTTTTTGACGACCTTTTTACGGTCAAAACGACGGCTTGTGATCTTTGCTATTTTTGTGGAAAAATTATGACTATTTAAAACTTGGGACAACCCAAGGACAAAAAAAAATCTTGATTTCAGCCTATTTTCGAGGCTAAATTTAATGTGTTTAAGACTTTTTTAAACCCTGGAATAACCCTGGCATTAATTTTTGACGACCTTTTTACGGTCAAAACCGCGGCTGAAAAATTTTGAATATTCTCTTTATAAATTAAGAATGGTCATACCCTGGGATAACCTTGGCATTACCTTTTGACGACCTTCTCACGAACAAAACTGCAGCTTGCGATCTTTGCAATTCTTGTGGAAAAATGAAAACTGCTTTAACCCGAGAATAACTCTGGTATCATTTAATCGTAGTGTAATTATAAAGTTATATTGACTCAAAAATTCTTTGGTATTGTTGTTTAATTATTTTTGGTATATTGGTTCTACAATGCATTAAATGAATAAAGTGTCAGAATTATAGATATGAACGTATATTTATTTTAACCATTTAGCTGTTGTTGTAGTTGGATTACAACAAACGTAGAACTTACAGAGCAAAGTGTTATTGTAATCTTGAGAATTCGTATACAATTTTTAATACATATTGCAAATACGAACTCACTCAATTTAAGTGCTAAATCTTTTTAAATCTCTTAAATTTTAATTGCTAGTAATGTTAATTTTTTTTGACGTAAAATTAACTAATGTGTATAGTGACAATTAATGTACTATTCGCTAATGTAAAGTAGTGGCAGGGTGCCTTGAGGAGTTAAATTCAAAAAATAGTAACTTAGAAAATTTGAATTAATATAATATTTTATGGAAAGTTTTTTCAAGAATTTCTAAAGAAATTTCAATTTAAAAATTGAAACACTTCTATTTATTTTCAATAAGAAATTCTATAAAATTTCATGGAATTTACATCAAGTTTTCATAGAATTTTTACTTATGTAAAATAACTTTATTGCCTTTATAATGAACGAGGAAGTTTATGTAAAATCACGAATTGATTGACGACGAGATTTTAAAATGAGCAACTCTAAATTTTCAAATAGGATAAGCACTAAAACTGTTATGTTTTTTAAAAATTTGAAATTATTTCGTAAAGTTGAAAAATAAGGAATCCATTAGAACTTAAGGAAATTGATCAAAAATTTGGTTGTAATTTAAATGAAAGATGATGAAACTTTTATAAAATTTCAGTCTGAATTTTTTTTTAACTTCCTGGGGCACTTTCCATAAAACTTGTCTACCTAAGATTAATTTTAATCTGATTTTCCTTTTTTCAGATAATGCAATAACAAATACTATAACATTAAGTCCGCATCAGATAAGTAATAATAATTATAAAAATTTGCAGAACCATTGATAGCGAGCATTCAAATTAATTCAATTTTCTTTTTTTAGGATTTAATTCGTCCAAAGTGGATCCTGAATCATCAGTGCCTGTTGATCCCTGGTCGCCCTTTATCGTTTGTTTTTGGTTTTCTTTTTCTAAATCCGTTTTACTTTGAACTGTATTTTTGTTACGGGGATTTCTAAGAGTGCAACATTGACTGTTCAAAGTGTCTACATATCTGTCGAAACTCATTCCTTTTGTTTTTCTTGTCACATAACCTAGGCAATATTTTCAAGATGTAAGTAAATTTTCAAATTTACATTCATTTTATATTTAAATTAGTTATAAATTCACTAATTCATTACTCAGCTAAAAATTCTATTATAGAATTTTGAGAAGAATCCTGTCAGGAATCCTGTGAAGGATTCTGAACAAAAATTTTCGTATATGTAAAAAAGTAATAATTATTATGTACGTACTGTACACAGCATTCCGGATATTTTCCGGTATGCCTTTTCCACGTTTTCCACCTCTAGAATGTCCAAGGGCAGTCATTGTTTTCAATTCTTCGGTTCCCACTAACTCTATCATTAATCTACGTACCATTTCTTCGGGTCTGTTTTTAAAACGAAGGATTTCAATTTGTCTTGATTTATTAATAACAAGTACGTCATTATTCATTGTCGCTAATTTTCTGGACGATTCCATATTTGCGATGGATGTTTGATTGGTGCTCTACATTAGAAATTAAACGCATGAAATATCTATCCCAAGTAATAATTTAAAAAAAAAAGACATTCTAGAAATTGAATAAAGAATATTCCCGAGATTTGTGTCAATTTAATTATCCGAAGTGCATTTCCTATGAAATTCCCGGAAACTATTTGTAATTTCATAGGGAATTTCATTGAAGTCCATTCCTGATAAGCAAATCTCGGAAGTTTTCTGGGAATATTTTCAAGTTCAATATGCATTATTCTATTTAAATTAAAGGTATAAAATATAGAAATTATGTTTGGAATTTTGAATACAAAAGTTATGAAAAATTACTAACTGAACTGTCAGAAGTTGCATTTCCACTTAAATAAGCTTCTCCCCAAATCACAAGTTGTTTAAGGTATTCAAGGTTTTCTCGAGTCACTAAAAAGAAAATGTTTTTTTATAGTAATTTAAATTATTGAGAATCATTTTATCATAAAACAATTTTCGAATTAGTGGTAGGTAAAATTTATATTTTATATATTATTTTTATATTTTTAATTAGTGTTACGAAAATTTGCGTAAACTTTAATAGGTGATTATTTTATAGAGGTAAAAAATATCAACTCTAACTTATTGGAAAAGGCAATTTTGTATGACTTGAAGAAGTTGAATTGCCGTTTTGTCCATCAACTAGGTCCAAATTTCCACCTTCAAAAATATTTTCTTTATTAATTATATAAGGGAACATAAAAATTTGAGTAAATTTCACTCAAGTTTGGTCCAGTCGAGCTAAGATGTCAGAAATACAAGTAGTTTTTCTTCAGTTTTTAATAATAAATAAAAATTATATCCAATAGATAACTTAAAGATTGCTTTGTCAGTCATTTATCAGAGTATACTTTGTTCAATTTTTTAAATTGTTAGGACAATTACCTTTCAGAATATTTGAATTAATAGGTTTCGAAACATGGTCATCGGAAGTAATAATTTCTTCCAATTCTGAATCCTTACTGCAGAGTATAAAGAAAACCTTGGATTAATATTAGTATTAAAAATGAAGCTAATCATATTTAAAATGAAAACAGGTGTAAAAATAAAATGTTCATATACAAACATGAAAAATTCATGTGAAAATATTTCCGGGAAACTTTCGGTATTTTCAGGAAATATTTTCATATTTTTCTTTAATGTAAGATTCTCTTTTTACCCCATGCCTTCATCAATTTCCTCATCTTCGGAACTCTCGTATTCTTTATTTGATTGAGTTTTTCCCTTTTTTGAAATTACTTTGCGATTCAACTGTGACATTTCGGGAACATATGGATCATCTACGGAGTCGTCATCGGAAATTTCGTCATCGATATCTTGATGGAATCTTTTTTTATCAGCTGCTCAAAATTTACGTCAGAAAAAACGTCATTATATACTTATATTGAATAATTACAGAAATCACAGTACCAATTTTTTAAGAGAAGAAGTGAATAATTTTTCGAAAATACATAGTAAATGGATTATTAAAATTTAAATTCAACTAAAATTTCAAACAATGAATGATTTAACGAATTAAGACAAGAATCGATTAAAATTAGAATAACTGAATTTGTTATTTAAAAAAATCGTTAAATTTTTAATTGATTAAAATTAATATGCTGAAGTCCACAATTATTAAGATGAAAAATTAAAAAAATATTTTTTACATTAAAAATTTTTTTTTAAATTTATATGTATAAAAATTTTAAATAATTTTTTTTGCATTAATTATACAATAGTAAAAACTTAAAAATTTTGTAAGAAGTAAATTGACAAAAATTTGGAATAATAAAGCTATTTTCAATAAAATTAAAAAAAATTTAAGTTTTTTAAAAAAATAATAACGTAGTAATTAAATTTTTCTTTGTTTCGAATTTTGACAAATTAGAAATATTAAAGACTTTAATATAAACAATTTACTGCTTTTTTGTTGGACTGTCGTATTTTTTTTTATTATAGAATTAATTACCATCTCGGATTTGCGATGTGGAAGGTTTAGGGTCTTTATAAAATATTTCATCATCCTCGGAATTGTTATCATCTTTGTTAACTAACTTTTTATTATTTTTATTTGCTTTAGATTTTGCCTTGTGATTCGTTTCTATATCATCATCATAACAAATTTTTTTAGATAATTATTTTTTTATTATATTATTTTAATGTTTGTATATCTTTTTTATATTATATAATTAATATATTTTAAATTAAATTTTTTTTTTTAATTTATATGTATAAAAATTTTAAATAATTTTTTTGCATTAATTATACAATATTAAAAACTTAAAAATTTTGTAAAAAGTAAATTGACAATAATTTGGAATAATAGAGCTATTTTCAATAAAATTAAAAATAATTTAAGTTTTTTAAAAAAATAATAACGTAGTAATTGAATTTTTCCTTGTTTTTAATTTTGACAAATTAGAAATATTAAAGACTTTAATATAAACAATTTACTGCTTTTTTGTTGGACTGTCGTATTTTTTTTTTATTATAGAATTAATTACCATTTCGGATTTGCGATGTGGAAGGTTTAGGGTCTTGATAAAATATTTCATCATCCTCGGAATTGTTATCATCTTTGTTAACTAACTTTTTATTATTTTTATTTGCTTTAGATTTTGCCGTCTGATTCGTTTCTAAATCATCATCTTAACAAATTTTTTTAGATAATTATTTTTTTATTACATTATTTTAATGTTTGTATATCTTTTTTATATTATATCATTAATATTTTTCAAAGTAAAAACAAAAATTTTTAATTTATATGTATAAAAATTTAAAATAATTTTTTTTGCATTAATTATTCAATAGTAAAAACTTAAAAATTTTGTAAGAAGTAAATTGACAAAAATTTAGAATAATAGAGCTATTTTCAATAAAATTAAAAATAATTTAAGTTTTTTTAAAAAATAATAACGTTGTAATTGAATTTTTCTTTGTTTCGAATTTTGACAAATTAGAAATATTAAAGACTTTAATATAAACAAATTACTGCTTTTTTGTTGAACTGTCGTATTTTTTTTTTGATTATAGAATTAATTACCATCTCGGATTTGCGATGTGGAAGGTTTAGGGTCTTTATAAAATATTTCATCATCCTCGGAATTGTTATCATCTTTGTTAACTAACTTTTTATTATTTTTATTTGCTTTAGATTTTGCCTTGTGATTCGTTTCTATATCATCATCATAACAAATTTTTTTAGATAATTATTTTTTTATTATATTATTTTAATGTTTGTATATCTTTTTTTATTATATAATTAATATTTTTTAAATTAAAATTTTTTTTTTAATTTATATGTATAAAAAATTTTAATAATTTTTTTGCATTAATTATACAATAGTAAAAACTTAAAAATTTTGTAAAAAGTAAATTGACAATAATTTGGAATAATAGAGCTATTTTCAATAAAATTAAAAATAATTTAAGTTTTTTAAAAAAATAATAACGTAGTAATTGAATTTTTCCTTGTTTTTAATTTTGACAAATTAGAAATATTAAAGACTTTAATATAAACAATTTACTGCTTTTTTGTTGGACTGTCGTATTTTTTTGATTATAGAATTAATTACCATTCCGGATTTGCGATGTGGAAGGTTTAGGGTCTTTATAAAATATTTCGTCATCCTCGGAATTGTTATCATCAACTAGCTTTTTATTATTTTTATTTCCATTAGATCTTGCCGTGTGATTCGTTTCTGTATCATCATCTTACCAAATTTTTTTAGATAATTATTTTTTATTATATTATTTTAATGTTTGTAAATTTTTTTATATTATATAATTAATATTTTTTACATTAAAAATTTTTTTTTGAATTCCAATGTATTAAAATTTTAAATATTTTTTTTCTTCATTGATTATACAATAGTAAAAAATAAAAATTTTGAACAAAATGAATTTAAAAAAAATTTTGAAATAATAGACCTATTTTCAATAAAATTGAAAATAATTTAATTTTTTACAATTTAAAATTTAACATTAATTGAACTTATCTTTGTTTTGAATTTTAAATATTAAATATCAGACTTTAATTTAAACAATTTACTGTTGTTTGTTAGACTGTTTTTTTATTTTTAATTATATAATAAATTACCTTTCCGAATTGTCGATGTGGAAGGTTTAGGGTCTTTATGAATTATTTCCTCATCGTCGGAAATTTGACCATCTTTATCACTCTTATTGCCTTTAAAAATATTTTTAATGTTTTCTTTTGCACTTTTATTTTATTTATTTTTATTTATTTTGAATTTTTATTCGTATTAATTTTATATTACACATTAAATATATTTAAATCTTACTTGTCAAGTTTTGTAACCCCAAAATTTTTTTATTTATTTTATCCTTAACTGACTCCTGCTTTTTCTTTTTTTCCGCAGCTGCTGATGGATTCCTCCTTTTTTTGGCCATGACCTTAGTTTTACTTTTTAAAATTTTTCCTTCCGTGGAAACATTTAATTTTTCAAGATAACTTTTACTTTCTATTTAAAGAAATAAAAATATATATTATAAAATATATAATACATAACCAAAATAAAAAATAATAATAGCAAAAAATACAAAATGTGAAAAATAAAAATTAATCTATTTTAATTTTATTTGTAATATTTCAATTATTTTTAAAAAATTTCATTTACCACTTCTTGCAATAATTACTATTTGATATGAAATTCCCTGATCGATTAATTTAGTTTCATCTCCATCACTTATTGTTTTAATTTCTTCAGGCTCTTCTATTACACTGACAGTTTTTTCTTTTTTCCAAAAAATTAAACAATATTTTGTTCCTGACATTTTTTCTGCCTATTCAACTTAATGAGTTTCAATATTGATTTTAACTAATTACTTTTTTCCAGTTGACATATCAATAATACGAATGTTGTCACTTAAAACAATTGCATTGGTAACCATGAAAATTTTTAAATTTAAATTTCATTAATTAAAGCAATTTTTGATGATTAAGTGATTTTCAGAAAATGTTTAATTTTTCAAATTTTTTAAATTAAATTTCGATTTTGCAATGAAGATTCAATTTAAAAAAAGTTTATAAATTAATTAAAGTAACTTAAAATTTCATTTTTTTGACAATTTTTGTCTTCTATCTTTTGTTCTGTTTTTACTTGAGAAATAGCTTTTCATTTGAATGTGTCAAAAAAAAGTAAATATAAAAATTCAAACTATCATTATTCAAATTGATTAATTATAATTTTGATAAATGATGTAAGTTATTTAAATAAAAAGGAATTTTTATATTAAACAATAATATTAAAAAACTAAAAAAATGAATCGAAACAAGAACTTTGACAATTATTCGTACTCGACGCAAAAAAGAATTTTAAACGCTCTTCGAGAGAATGAAGCAAATTTATTTAGTTCGTCTGATTCAGTAAGATATTGCATTATTTATAAATAAAAATTTACTGGCGTTTCCTATACATACTTAATATTATATATTTAAAAAAAAATTGTAGAACATTAAAAATGAAGTTTAAAAAAAATTCAATCTTCAATGAAAACATTATTTTGCACTTCTTTTCATATTTTCACAAAAGTCAATTAATGTTTTATTTACATATTTACATTTTTTAAAATCACAGCTTTGCAATAATAAAAGATTTCAAAATATCGTAATGAGTCATAATTGAAAAATAAGGGTTAATTATCCAAAAGAGGTGTTACGAATTTTTTTTAAATTTTTTTCTTATTAAGAAGTACATGAAAAATCCTTCCAAAATCTGTACTTGTAAATAATTTATAACAATTAATGTTGTTAATATTTTTTTAGCAATATATACCGAGTGAGAATATTGCTGACTTTTCTTTTTCTAGGCCCTTAGATTTTTCTTATTAAGATTTTCTGAAAAAAACCTTTAAAGTTTTATGATTTTAGTCGGCTGCTGACAATTACCATTATTATCGTGATGATTATTATTATCTATGAATTTATTTTTATTTTTTAGTGATTTTAATAAAGAAAACTCCAAATTGACATTTTTTGTTAATAATAATAATAACAATAATTTGTTACAAACATTTTTAATGTAATATTTTAATTAACATAAATTTTTGTCAAGTCATTCTAAATATTAGTAAATTGTCTTCTTGTTAAAGACCCTAACGTATGCAATTAAATTTTAAAAAAATTTTACTTTATTTAATACGAATTCGATAGAAAAAAGTGTAATTAAAAATATTTGTTAAAAACTAAATAATAAATGTCTTAGTGTGAGAATTTTTTAAATAGATTTTTACAATTGATTGTAATGAAATTTTAAGATATCAAAATTCACGTTTTTTAAAGTAAATCTTTACATTGTTTTATTTCTGTTGAAAAGAATAAAATAATTTTTCATATAGTGGAAAATTTTTATGTGGTAAGTATAGAATATTATTTCTTAGATATGTGTAATTTAATCTTATTACATATATTTTTTTCTATACATGTAAATAAATTTTTTATAATTTTAATGTGAAAATATGTACACTTATATATTATATTCTAATCTCTGAGGACATAAATATTAAAATTATAAAGTAAGTATTAATAAAATAATACTGTGGTCTTCTAATAGAATAATTTTTATAAATTTAAATGTTAAAAAAATAAAAAAAATTTACTACTGAAAAATATTTTTTAACTTTCAAAAATTTAAGGAATTGTAATAAAATAAGTTTTTTCTTTAATTTTTTTAGTGAAAAAAATAAATCTATAATTTATACGACTTGAAAATTGTTTCCTTGTAATAGATAATTTTAATTAAACATGACGTAACAGATTTCAAAAAATGTGACTCTTTTGTTATAACCAAAGAAATACTTTTGTTCATTTAAACGTCAAAATGTCTGAAAATAATTCTACCATGGAAGAAATGAGAAATACTATTGGCCAATTAAGAAAAGAGGTTGAACGATTAAAGAAATGTAAGTATCATATTTAAATAATTAAAATTTTTAATAGAAAAATTTATTTAGTTGTTCCTTTCAGTAAACGGAGATACAAGCATGGAAATTGAAATGGATGGGAAAAGTACGATATGTAATGAAAAAAAAAATGAGAAACTGGATGGTAAGATTTTAAACAAAAATTTTTTAGCCGTATAATAATGTTTTTATTTTAATTTTTTTCATAAACGTCAAATTCGCATTAACGTCCACACAGAGATATAACCTTCATTAATATTAGTTAAAATCCGAAAAAAATTTGTTTTAATGTATAGACATCAATTGAATTTTATAATATATTAATATTATATTTTCAAAGGAAATATTAATATTATTAATTTTTAAAATACTAAGATAATATAAATTATTCAATGAAACTTAATAAACATTATTTTTCATAAATTTAAAGTGACATTAATTTTAACAATTATAATTTTTATTATGCGATTATTAATTTAAAAACGTTTAAATTTGAAAATCAATTTGTTTTGAATATTATATATTTTAATTTGACATACTTGTGCAATATTTTATTTATAATAATAAACTTTTTCTATTCAGGTAATGGTAAGGAGATAAAAGTTTGGAGCAGAGTGTGGGAAAATTCGACTTTGAAGAAGCAGCAGACAGAAGGTTATTTATTAAATTAATTTTTGTATGAATTTATCCTACTCAAAAAAACATTAAATTATAGTGATTAATTTTATTTATGTTTATTAGATGCAGGGAGAATTAGAAGAAAATCGAGTGGAAAGAGTAGAAGAGAATGGTACAGGAGACGAACCGAGTGGAATAATAGAAACTTTTATCAAAATGGTAAAGGTGATAATGGCAAAAAAGGAGAAAACGGTAATGGTGGATCACAAGGTGGATATGGTGGTATAAGTAGAGGAGGAACAGGACGTGGTGGATCACGAGGCGGTTACGGTGGTATAAGTAGAGGAGGAACAGGACGTGGTGGATCTCAAGACTGTTATGGTGGTACCAAAATAGGAGGAACAGGACGTTGTGGATCAAGAGGAGGATATGGAAGGGGAAGAATGGGAAAAATAGTTAAAATTATTAAATATTTCAATATTTAAATACTTTTAATTACTTGAAACATAGTTTTACCATTAATATGAACAATTTAAGAATAAAAAGTAATTTTTTAATTTTTATCTTCATTACAAGTTGTAAGGGAAGAAACAATTAAATAAAAATTAAAATTTTTTAAATTACATGATTGATATACACCAATTTTTCTTAGAATTATATAAAATCTCAAATATTTCTGTATTTTCAAAATTAAAAAAAATTTGATTATTTTTGGATTTTAATTTCTTCAAGGGTGGAAAATTTTAAAAAATCTATATTAATAAAGGTATAAAATAATAAAATTAAATAAATTTAAAAAAAAAAATTTCCCTGACGATTTGACTAATTGAAACAAGAACCATCTATAGACAACTGATAATTACATTATGATTCATTTTTTGCCAAGTGAGATTAACTATCACGGAAGAGTTGACTAACAGTGACCAAGATTATTTTTATTTTGTTACTTACTTTGTGGCTTTTTAATCTTTGGCGAAATATTTCGGAATTTTGACTCAAAGAATTATCAGTTCTGGGATTAAAAATGTTTTTAAGTAATATTTTTGTTTCCAGGGAAACTCGCAGAAATTTTTTCACATTGGTCAGTTAAACCGAATCAAAACTCATTTCAATTTAAATTTTCGATAAATTTATAAAGTGGATCACAATACAGCCTTCTTCTACTTCGTTGAAATATTTAAAAATATTTATCAGAAAAAGTTTATTTTATTATTTACATACATTTTTATTAGTGATTAATGAGAGAAAATAAAAAAAGACCCATTGTCAGTAAAATATTAGTAAAATAGAAAAAAATTAAAGTTTTAAAACGATTTCAGTTTCTAGTTATACCTTCCGAAAAATCCGAATAATCTCAATACTAACTTTCATGACGATCCCTTGACCTATGCCCTAGAATATTGAGGTTATGTTTGACTTTAAATCCTGGAACCCTATGCCCTTGAAATTTAAGGTTATGTTTGATCCATAACCTTGAATCCTGGAGACCTAGGACCTTGAATTTTGAGGTTATGTTCATTTTAATACTAATATAGGTAGATATATGGGTCATTTCACGTCAATTTGCCTGTAGGTGAAATTTACCTATGACATTTTAAATTCGGTAAATGTATTTTTTTTTCTCTATAGAAAGAAAGGTTTACGTATGTTTTTACTTTTTACAAGTGCTCAAATTTTGGAGTTACAAATTTTTAAAAGTCTGGTTCTTTCGAGTTTTTTGAAAATAGTCTCAAATTCAATGACATATAACTCGTAAAGCATTGGTTTCAGGAATTATGACCAAGATATAAAAAAGTTTTAGTTTTTTATTCACTTTTAAAATATGTTAACGAAAAAAAAATTTTGAATTTGTTTATAAAAAATAACGATTT